GGTTCGGTTCTTACAAAGAACCCTGGCTGGTAACAGCCACCAAGGTGAAAGTCAGAGTAAGTCACCAGGAATAATGATGTAAAAAATAGTATTGGGGGTTGGAATATAGCCCAGTGGTTTACAGCTTGCTTAGCATGTGAAAGGCGCGCGCGCACACACACATACAACCAAAAAGCATATATATGTAGGCAGAAAGGCAGAATCCAACAAAAAGACAGGAGAACTGGTACCCATATGGGCAATAAATGTGCTAATTAGATCAAATGTGTCAATCATTTCACAATGGATATAGAATTAAAGTTATACACCCTGAACATATAAACTTTCTATTGCCTTTTTTTTCAATAAAGCTGAAGACAAAAATGCAATTTGAGAGTTGGAGTCATGCAAACATTTCCTGTGTAGAGGTAAAGAATGAGATTCTTTTGATGGCACATAAGCCCTGGCCCTGGCCATCCTCATACCATCTTCACATCACTGAGCTCCAGCCAAGCCACTTGGAAGACATTAAACCTACCACAGGGCTTCCTTCAGTAGTTCTGAGTGGCTGAGGGCTAGGGAAGCATCCTCCCATGGGACTCTTGGCTCTAAGAGATACAAGAGAGTCACCTAAGAAATGCTTCTCCTTTGGAAGTCTGAACGCCATCTTTTTCTAGAATAGGCCTTGACTCCACAGGTTTTTTTTCCCCCTGCATGAGTTCTAGGAGCAGATGCTGATCTCAGGACACATGGGCACATTTCATGCTACAGATGTGGGGGCCTGGCAAGTGAACTGACAACTCAAATAGCATCTCTCACCCATGAGCCAGGCCAGCTGGTCTGTTTCACTGGCTATGAGTGTGCTTTAAAAAATACACTTGCCTTTCATTTTTCTGATGTGTCACAACTCACCCTTTTGTTGCTTTGGAACATTCTGGAGCACAGGAGGCTAATCACCCTTCATGACATGCATCTGTTTGCGATGAATGAAGGCTCATACCCAGAACCTTCTTGTGTCATCCTGAAGGTAATTGTGCAGCCATCCTGTCCTACTGTTGTCAGTAGTTCACAAAGCAAGGCGAAGAAAAAAACACACAACTGAGGTTAGTGAACAAATCCTAAAAAGTAATTATACTTTAATAAAAGTGACTTGCAAAACAAAACACTCATCCCTGGCCTGGAGATTGATACTCTGGTTGACTGCAGCAAGAAAGTAGGAAAACATGTGCATCTATTTTAGTCTTATTCATAGAGCTGAATCAAAGCTAGCTTTCATCCAGGCTGAAAAGAGGAAAAAAGAAAATGGGCTGAGTTTCTACTGCTCACAGTGGTCTGCCTTTTGGAATCAAAGCATAGAAAGCATCTACTTTAAGGACTGATGTTGGAAGTGAGGACAAAAGAGGATGTTCCCTTGGAATTCTTTCAGGTCAAATTGCACCTGCTTCCTAGAGTCACTACTTGCAACAACTCTTGTGGGGGGGAAGGAAAATCCCAATCCCAGTTTTACCTTTTGTCAACCCAATAGCCATTCTGAATCTCATCTGAAGTGAGAAGCAGAGATAACTCTTTGTGAAGGGCAAAGGAGGTGCCAGGACATTTACTAGACCCCTTATAAACTTACTATCCAGAGGACTCTGAGCTAGGTGACTTTATTTATTGGACCAAAAGACATTGAATCTGAGAGAAGTGAAGAATACCTGCCCAAACCCATACCACTTACTGTAGTAGAAGGGTTCAGGATGTGGATCCTGTGCTCACCACTACTCCACATCATTAATCTAGATTCACCTGCATAAGGATGTTCATGGCATAGAGTAGAGATCTGAAAAAAAATCCTCAGGAACAAGGAACAGTCTATGCTTTGGAAGTGTTGCCACCTAGATATAATCGATACTCTGAGCTTTTTACAGCAATTCCAGGCCATTGGGTCATTTCAGCTCACCACATCCTCCTGTCCAATCCCAAGGAAAGTATTTTTTGAAAGTGTAGTGAGCCTCAAGAACCTCTGGTAATGCTTTTTTACTGTCTAGGTAATCGAACCCACTAGCTCTCCTCAAAAGGAAAACCTAAGGAGCAAGCCTCTACAACACTCTGTGCCCATGACATCCTGGAAAAGCCATAAGCACTGTGTAGGTTACAAAAGACATATCAGTGTCTACACAGGCTGGGCCTGAGGTAAACATTAACTGCAAAGGGGTGTAAGATAACATTTTAGGCAGAACAGAAATGTTTTGTTTCCTAATTGTGGTAGAGTTTATGTAGCTATGCATTTGTCAAAACTCACTGGATTGTATACTTCAAATTGGAAAAATTTACAAGTGTAAATGATACCTTGATAAACCTTATTTGAATATCCATGCATATATATGCTTATATATCAAATATATTTATTTTATGCAATGCATATTATATACATGTATTATAAGTATATAATATACATATATACTATCATATACATATATTATAAATATGTTAATGTATGCATTTAATATATCAAGCATATTTTATTTATTTATATAAACTGTTTTAAATAAATGCATTACATTTATATATTATATAAAGTGTATATATTATATTATACATATTTATATTAATATATAACTCATATACTATATAAACATATTTGTACATAATATATTTATATCTTATAAAACATATACTCATAACTATATTACATATATTTATATACTTAGTATCTATAATATATAATTTCAATAAGGCACTGTCTGATAAATCTCAAAATGAATTTTCCTTTGGGCAACTGCATTGCAGTAAACCTATGAGCCTAAATCTGTCAGTTGTTCAAGTTTCCCAACTGGGAGATTTCCCACAGGCACAGGCAACCAGTGCAGGCTGTTACACCATGTCCAGTGAGAAGGAGGTTGTAGAGAGAATTTTCCGGCACATGCTTCTGTAGCAGCTAAAGTGAGAAGCTGACTGCTTGGGTTACCTTGGCTTCCTGCCTCCTTTGCCAAATCTTCAGAGGTCATACTGTATACTTGATAGAAACACTCATCTGGAAAATTGCCGTAAGCCAGATTCAATATAACATCATTGTTTTTAAACTATATTTCACATGACATGCATGTCTTTATCTTCCTATCTTGTTGTAGTTTGAAGGCCATACCTGTCTCTACACTCAGCCCTGGAAAGAGAAGAGAAAAATCCTTCTAAACATTCTAAACATTGTAGCTTCCAGCTGTTTTAAAAAGCTTGGCATGGATTTAGAGAATAACTACACTAGCCTACTCTGTTTTTCCAGCTCTAGGTCACTTGTCCTTCTACACATTCTCTGTGGTACAAGGGCTTCCCTTTCTGACACAGCCAGTTATTCCTGTGTTTTCTGTCCAAAACCTTCTGTTTGAGGAAGGGCTGGAGACTTCTGAACCATGTTATTAGCTCAATTGGAAAAAGAATGATACCCACATGTAGTCCAGCATTGGAAATAATCAGATCAGCCATGCAAATTAATAAGAGCATAAGGTCATATACCAAAAAGATAACAAGGAAGTCTCATATAATAAAAATTAAATGAGTTTTTAAAGGAAAATAAAAATCAAAGAGCCAGCCCACTTCAAACTCTCTTAAAAATTTGTCCATTGTTAGGTATGAGCACCTAGATACTGGTGCTTGGAACCATTCTCCCTTGCTCACAGCAAGATATGAACTGCCTTGTTAAATGTGTGGGGGAAGCCGGGTGCTGGTAGCTCACATCTATAATCCTAGCTATCTGGAGGCTGAGATCTGAGGATCACAGTTCAAAGCCAGCTCAGGCAAGAAAGTCCATGAGATGCTTATCTCCAATTAGTCACACAAAACCAGAAGTGGAGCTGTGGCTCAAAGCAGTAGAGCCCTAGACTTGAGGAAAAGAACTCAAGGACAGAGCTTAGGCCCTGAGTTTAAGCCCTATAACTGACCCCCCCCCAAAAAAAAAGTTTGGGATGTGTGTGTGTTTAAAATCAAAGAAATAAAAGATGCTTTCTTCAAATTATAATTAAATGCTTATTTTAAACAGTTCAGTATGGAGTTTAAGGAACTGATCCTGTAAGACTAGGAACCTGAAAGATGACAAAACCATCCCAACATAAGAATGCCTGTGTCTGCAAGGTTTTCAACTCTGCACTGGTATACTAGTTACTTTAAATGGCATCTCTTCCTTTTAAAACTTCTGTTTTAATTTTCACACAAGTTCAAGGCTTAAAGACAAAAAGTGCATGCAACAATTGATATGACTGAATATGAATCTCATATACCCTCGAAGTTTCTTTATTATATAACCTGAAGTACATCATTCTACCCCTGTCTTAGATCCATGTAAATGAATGTTCATAGAAGAGAAAAAGAAAATTAATTTTTGTGCTAGTACTAGACCAAGAATTCAAGGCCTAGACACTGTCCTTTACCTTTTCATTTAAGAATAATGCTTTACTTGAGCCATAGCTCCACTTCTGTCTTTGTGCTGGTTAATTGAAAATAAGAGTCTCGTGGGCTTTCCTGCTCAGCCTTGCTTCACACCACAATTCTCAGATCTCAATCTCCTGAATAGCTAGAATTGTACATGTGAGCTACTGGTACCCAGCAAAAGAAATTTTATTTATTTATTGTCAGTCATGGGTCTTGAATTCTAGGCCTGGGCACTGTCCCGGAGCTCTTCAGCTCAAGGCTAGCACTCTACCACTTGAGCCACAGCACCACTTCTGTTTTTCTGGTGGTTAATTGGAGTTAAGAGTCTCACAGATGTTCCTGCCCTGGCTGATACCCAGATATCAGCCTCCTGAGTAGCTAAGGATTACAGGCATGAGCCACCAGCGCTCAGCAAAATTTAATTTTTTGACTTGTGATTTTCCCTTAGAAAATGAGTTAATTTCTTTTTCATAAAAAGCACACAATAGAGAAAGGGAATTAGTTGGAAAGTTTGGTTCTCATCTCCTGGACTGCCTTTGGAATTAAATTACAAGGTAGAAGATTATACTGACTTTTAACGTGGGTGGACAGTAAGAGAAGAAAAAAAGTTCATCATCCAAAGAGCCTTCAAGGATTTTATTGCAGTGTACAATTTAATGCATAAAAAGCCCTTTCTCTAGAAAATACAAAACACTTTACAGATATAATATCACATGAAAATTTTATTTTTCTGGTATGCACAAAGCATCATTCCAGGAGCTAGTGAAGAGAACAAAGTGAGAGATTTGGTCCCTAAGGCAACTTCAAATTGAAATGTGCCGAGTGAAGCCCCAGATTCCTTCTAGGCATTGAAGAATTAGTGGGGTTAAGGATCGGTCATTGAGAAAATCTATATAAAGAATCCCAGAAGCCATACTTAGGGTCCTCTTTAAGCCCCTTAATTTCTAGGTACTACTAGACTGTATGCATCATTAAACCCATAATGTTCCTAGATATCTGACAATCCCACCCTGGAAGGTAGAAAATACATCACTAGAGGCAATGGTTTCCAAGAGAACTTAACAAATCAAGGCAAATATCCTCACTCTCTAGTTAGGTGCAACTATCCATACTGAATACCACTAAAGAAACACTCTTCTTGATTCTCCAGCAGATATCTAAATAAGTGGAGAAGAGCATTTCAACAACCACTGTATTTTTAACACCTAGACGTTTTCCTGAGATTCCTGTAGGAAGACCAGATTATACTCCAGTAGGTAGCCATCATTATAGACATAAAGTTTTTGATCATAAGGGTTATAGTTAATGCTCTGTATTATTTCCTGCATCTTTGGCATTATAATGGCTAGATTTCCTTGCCTGCCTGTGTTTGTGTCATAGTAGTAAAAAATCTCTTCTGTTCTGGTGTTCAAAGTACGAGTAGCATAGAGCACCCCACATACCATAAAGGCATTAGAAACAGATGATTTGTATTGCTTGGTAACCCAAGTGTTTAGCACCTCAAGTGAGGTGTCATTGAGTTTGCTAATCACTATATTACCAGTGCTGGCTTCAGTTGCATAAATGACCCAAAGTCCTTGTTCATCCACAGCAAAGTCAATATCTTGCCAAGCCACATTAGCATATGAAAAACGGTTATTATAGGCAGCACCAGGGAGATTTCGAGTCACAGCAACAGTGTTGTCGGTCAGGTTAACTTTAGCAATGTTCCCAGTATTGTACCAGTTGACATACATGTTCCTTTTGTAAACTGCTATACCACCACCTTGGCCATAGACAATCCGATATTGTTTAGCATATGTGTACAATAGTAAATCATCCAGTGTGTTGTAGAGTCTGTAATATTCCAGTATTCTTGCATCTGTATTCAGAGGTGCCACCCAATACAGAGTTTTCTCAGGGTTCTCAGGAGAGTAATCCCGACCCCAGGCACCATACTTGTAGGAAAAGCCTTTCCAGTTGAGCTGAACCACTGAGGGTTTGCTGATGTTCATCACACCACCGTGACTGCAGCTCCCTGTACAAAGAAGAAAAATGGTCAAGGGCATTCTTAGAGAGAATGAGTGATCAACTGCTTAGCATCTTAAGAACCAAAGGCATCCCTTGAGATTTTTCTTGCCAAAGTTTAATGAAAACAGCAGCTCTGCTGTCAAAAAGTCACAGCTTTTCATGGTACCTGTCTCTGGGCCACTCTACTGTTAGACCTGCAAAGAACTACCACAGATGGACTTGTAGTCCATACACAGGGATAATGAAACTGCCCACATCCATATTTTAAAGTTCAGAGGACCCAGAGAGAAAAGGAAAGACTTGATCATTTATTTTCATCTATCAGAAAGCATTTTGCACAATTCAGAAACCTATTAATTTTTCTCATGAAGAAATCAAAAAGTAAGATCACTGCAGAATCTTCTCCTATTTCCATAAAGCCACAAGGTGCTATTAGTCAGAGGTCACTCCCAAGAGAACTGTGATGAAAAGAAAATCATCCTGATTCAGTCTCCATGCCCTTCCCCACTGTGCTTTTCCTGAGACCCCCCAAATACATATTCACTAGATACCAGTCCTGCTCCAAGATAATCTCAGAAGAGCAATTTTAAAACCCAACATTTTATAGATCCAGAATGATGGTGCTATAACAGTGGGAACTCAGCCTTGAGAAGCCTTTAAAGGTATTTTAGGGCACTACTGCCTGCTCTGTGCCCAGTGCATAACCCATACCATAAATCACGTGGTGACCGTCTTGCTACAGAGTTACACAGTGAGTCCTGCTGTTCGTAACCCATATGCTACCGTGCAATAGAGGATGACAGGCAACTATTTCATCCCTGCCATTCTGAAAGAGTCATTGTCACAGTGTGTACAACCAAGTGGGACCAGATGCGCTGGTCCATTGAATTGACATTCCCCGAAATACTTGGGTAAATGACTCAGGCTGGGCAACTGGCCCTTCTCATTTCACTCCCTCTGAAATGCCTGCCAACCCAAAACATTTATGAGCTATAAAACATGAAATAAAGTTCCCCTAGTATTTTTATAAGAACCATCCAAAGAGTTGAACATTTTTTCTGGGATCTTAACAAACTCTCTTTAAAAAAAAAAAAGCTGGTAAGAAAGTGATGGTTTATTGGGTAACAAAGACAATCCAACTTCAAGTACATTTAAGGTCATTTTTGTTCATCTTTGCTGCTCAGAGCAGAACAGGTAAAGGAAGGAAAGAACAGAGCTTGAATCAGTAGATCTAGTTTTTATATGCCTGGGGGGGAATTGGGGAGATATGGAAACCATGTGAGTGACAGGAACCAAAAGCAGCAATTTTAAGAGTCACCTGTGATTAGTACTGTGGAGATGCAGGACAAAGCGTTTGTCTCAGCCCAAGAAGGAAAGAAGCATTCTTTTCCTTGCTGAATGCCTTCTCAGATTTCTCACACAAGTTCTGCTCAGAGGTAGAACTGTTCTTAGAAATCCTGTTTCTAATTTTCAATCTGCTGGGACTTTTTGATATGTGCTTCTTAAATACTCTCAGAATTCCACAGTTGGTAGGAAAGCCAGCCAACCATACAACAGGTAGAGAAATGAAACAACTCTGTACCCAGCCTCAAATAATTTTGCATCCCATTAAACAGAACACAGTCACAGGTTTATTTTAATAATACATGCGCCATTTCATAAATAAAAAAGCACTGTGTGTTCAGACAGGAGACTGCTTCCTACTAAAGAAATAATAAATAATATTATAAATTATTATTTCTTCTCCTAAAAATGATCTCTCAGATGAATGCTTGTTTGCTTTTGTTTATGAAACAATGCATGAATTATTAAAATAAAGTTAGTGGTGTGTTCAGTTTAATGATAACAAAACTGTTCTAGTTCCCATATGCTACCAACTAGGTTTTCTACTTAAAATATCTTCCTGAGAACTTATTTATTCAACTACATTTCACTGTGAGGAAATGAGAGGAAGTTGTGAGTTTACTTTTAGGTTAAAAGGTTTCAGAGTTGTTTGCTTCGTTGAACTTTACCGTCCTGGAAAGAAAATGCCCCAAACTAACTATAATATAATATTTCAGGTAAACTTACGATATGTATGACTTGTTCAAGCATTAAAGATAAAGCCTAGACTATCCTAGCTGCATATGTAGAAACAGAATCTTTAGATATAAACAAACCTAAATAAATGTCTCAAAAAGTACCTATTATCATTGTTACTTTTATTACATTTCTATTTTTAGCATAATACTATTATTATTGGTGATCATCTTAGTATGGTTACTATTGATGATAATGATAATAGCTTATCATTTCATAAGTTGACCAGAAAATTGAAATTGTACCTAATGTAAGTATAAAATGGAATGTACCATTAATAGATTTTCCTTGCTTCCCATCCATTCCTAAATGCTCTCCTGTCCATGTTGTAATTCCTCCCTCTTTATCCCTTTATCCTTTTATTTGAGTATAGTTAAGGTCCTGGTTTGATTCTGATCCAAAAATCTTCACCAGCTTCACCAGCAGTGAAAGCACCACTTTGCATTTTCTGGTGCAAGAGTACACAGCACAGCAATATCAGGAATGAAAGTACCCTTTCAGCTTCTCCATAAGCAGGGAAGCAAAGCTAACAGATGTCATTCGGGTAGGTGTATTGTTAGAACTATCCTATCACTCCAGAAATCACAGTGCATTCCTCCAGTAGAGCAGATATGCAAGGCAGCCTGGTACAGTGAAAATCCAATCAGACAGGTTCCAATTCAAATAGTGTCTCTCATACTAAGTAGCTATGTATCTCTGAACAAGTTGCTTCACCTTCCAACCCTCAATTTCCTTATGCTAAAAGAAAAATCATAACTACTCTGCAGAACAGTTGGAAAGAATAGAGAGAAGGCTTGTAAGTGCAACTCAAGATGATAAGTCCAATCATTATGATTGTATAAGGTTATAGGTGAAGTTTTACTTGACTGTCTCCTTTGCTGAGTAGTGGCTTCTAAAGGTTTCTTTCCCTATTCTGGTAATTCCAGTACCAGTACAGAGACACTGAATTACTTTTGCAGAATAAAGGAGCCAAAGATTAATCAAATCACCTAAACTCAATTTACTTGTTCACAAACACTAGCCTGGCTACACAATTAAGGTTTAAAAATGTCTTATTTACTCCACAGATCATAATGAGAGGAAGCCAACTTTGGTTGGCAAATCTCTTTATCATGAAATTCATGAGTTACTTCCTTGGTAGTCTGAAAATATCCAGGGAAGCCATAGACATGACATTTCAGAATGGGCTTTTTATTTTTTTACCATCACTGGGCTTTTTTTTTTTACCATCATGGTTAATAGTGTTTTCTTTTAAAAGCAAACATTACAACTGGAGGTATGGTTCAAGTGGTAGAGCAAACCAGTCTTGAACAGAGAAGTCAAGTGAGAGCACAAAGCCCTGAGTTCAAGCCCAGAAACAAGCACAAAAATGAAGTAATAAATAAAGAATAAAGCCAGACATTATAGACTTACAGAGGAAACTTAATTTTGTTTCTGTCAGTTCTCTCACCTGGGCAACTGAACTTCATTTGAGTCAAAAGAAGACTATGATTAACTTGTAAGAATTAGGCAATTAGAATTATCATAATTATAAAAACAAACTTAAATTAACTGGATTATTTCATTAGACTCTGCTCAAAACTCTAAGTTTGAGGTTTTAATAAGTCATCCTGTATTGTCCATATCCCATGGAATCACTAACCACGTACCAAACACCTACCATGTACCAACAGGGCCTAACATCCCCAAGAAAATGATGACTGATACCTAAACATACTCATCACATTTTGCAAATATGGAGTCATTTAGATTTGGGGAGGGGGAAGTGGCGCTGTAGCTCAAGTGGTAGAGCGCTCGCCTAGAGCTGAAGAACTGAGGGACAGCGCCCAGGCCCAGAGTTCAAGCCCCACGACCGCCAAAAAAAAAGAAAATAGATTTGGGGAGGGAAAGGCAGGGTAGAAAGCATGGAGAGTGAAATCAGTTGTTATAAGGAAAAAAAATAATGAGCAGAGGCCAATTATTTTAAGTTAGAGAGTCCTATGAAATGAAGCAGAAAAGGATGCTATTGGCTACCAAAAAAAAGGCATATCATGCATTTTATTGAACTCAAAACACATGTGCTGGTTCTAAGTTCAAGCTGACCACAGGGTTAGCAAACACAGCCATGAGGGAGGAGCAGGACCACTTTATAGCTGAGACTTGCATATAGTCTTTTTTTGTTCTGTGCAACTCTGCAGTGAAAAAAGCAGACAGGCCAGATTTTAAAGTCCCATAATAGTGAGTAACTTTAATTAAAGTCTCCACAGGCTCACAACTTTGTGGTGCCTGGGGATTTTCCAATTCTGCATTATCAACCAATCCAAACAGAAAGAGAGCAAGTGAAAGAAATTGATTTAAAAACACGACAAAAAGTCAGTTTAATACAAACATCATAAATATAATATGAACAAAGCTGGAGAAGGGCCAAGTGACTTGGCAGGGATCCAGGTACTGCCAAGGTTGTGGGAAAGTAAGTGGAAATCTGGGTTTAGTTTGCTTAAACAACACAGCTGGGCTGAGATGGTTGACAGAAGTGTTAAGTGTGATGGTCTATGGGAAATTCTGAGGAAAAAAAATAAATTTCTAACAAAAAAATAATAATCCAACAGACTTAACTTGCTTTCTTCTCTAGATACTAAACAGTGCATTTTCTCCCCCAACACTATCGTCGGATGGCTGATGATTGACACTCTGAGATGGCCCTGAATTTCAGCTCTGTTCCTAACTACTGAGAGCTTCAGAAAAAGCAGCATTTTTGCTACTCATGTCCTCTCCTCTAAGACAGTGAGGAGCTAAGTTAGGTGGCCCTGAATGTGTTTTCTTGATCAACAATGCTCCTTATTTTAAAGAATACACAGACATCTGTGCCAGAAAAGCCTATTCCATTTGCTCAGGGAGAGGGATATCTGCTGCTTAGTTATTATCAGAAGTTGCAACATTACCTTGACTCCTGCTGCCATGAGCCCTGTGGACCAACAGCACCAACTTTCATTTCCATTATGCGTTTTATACCACTGGTCTCAGACTACATTCAGCCTAAGTTTGTTTATGGTCTTTGCCCTAAACATCCTCTGTGTGTCTGAAGAGCTGTAGGGCAGATCTTCAAACATAGAAAAGACCAACAGGCCTATAACTATGCCCATATCTATTAAGCCTTAAAGAAAACAGCTATATTGACAAGGATCCAGAAACTCACAGACAAGAATTAGTTTTTTTTAAGCTGCACAATTTGATGAAAAGAGACCATCTGCATTCAGGCAGAGATGCTCACGACCTAAAGGACAAGTCTGAATGTTATGACTGGGAGACTGGAGGAATGAACTTTGCTGCATAAAGATCTATCCCTGCCTCTGTCCACAGCAAGGTTTGCATGTCAAATAATATCATTGCTAGTATTATGAGCACGGATTACACTGCCCTGAGCTTCCCAGGCATTGTCCCATTAATCTCCATAGCAACCCTACAAGGTAGCTACTGCTATTCTCCCATTTTACCAATGAAGGATTTTCTCCCCATGCAGCCACAGAGATGGGAAGCTCAGAGCTTTAGGACTCCAAAGACATGTCCTTGAGCCTCCACTCCACTGCCTCTATTCATAGATGTATTTAACAAAGCACCTCCTCTGTGTTATATTTTAATCATTGGAGAGTGAGGACCTATCTCTTTTATCCTCATTGACACAGAACCTAGAATCAAGAACACAGAATCAAGACCCTATACCGAGCTTGTCAGGGAAATCAGCAAGTCCAGCCTTTCTGGAAAACAGAAGCCACACACATAGATTCCAGAGGCTTTACCTTACATAGCTCCCCTGCCACCATAGAGATCATTTTCCTCTTGGTAAATATAAAGAGAATATATGCAACTTGTGGGTTTTGCTTCAAATCAGCTCTTTGTTTGTGCCTTTCCTTTGTGAGCCACAAAGCATGACAGCAGAATTACTTGAGGTAGGAGGTTTTAGGACATGGAGGAGTAAACTTAGAACTTCAACCACTGCAGTCCTGAATCTCTTCCCTACCCCACTGCACAGCTCATTCCAAGGCCTGACTCAAGTGATAGACATATGGCATGCTTACCAGGAGCAGGGGGAGGCAAAGGAACAGCATTCAGTTCACTTTTAGACTTTTCACATTCTCTCAGCTTGTTTTTCAGAGCCCAGATTTCTTTGCGAATGTGAAGGACATTGTTTTTGTCTAGCGTCTCCAGCTTCTCTACCAAGAGAGTCATATTCCTTATCTAAGGAAATAAAAATTCAGAGTGACTTTATATTATTGTGCAATTTCTTTCATAAACATTCCGGGGCTGAATTTGTCATTTAGTGAAACATTGCTGCAGAATACGCCAGAGATTCTTCTGAATGGTTTCATTTGGAAGAATACATTTTATGGTTTAGCGTGAATGCCTGTCACATCTCAGGCAGATGTGTGTGACAAGAAGAAAATGGCAAAGATTTTAACAGCTTTAATAATAGAGCTGAGGCTCATTCTAGGCATCTACAAATGTCCATTAAAGTTCATTTCTAATAACCTTCCTCTATAAATCGTGTTTACTCATGTTGTATTATAATTAAGTTTCTAATGAATGGTGAGGGTCAGAGAAATCTTAAATTCTAAAATATATAACTAGAATTCTCAATTGTAGGTCATGTTATCACTATGCTAATAATTTTTCATTGATATAAATTAACCAGCCGTAACATACATGTAATGGGTTTTACCCATAGATCTAAAGCACATAAGAAATTTCTTAAAGGAGGTTGCCAGTAGGTATAAAGAATTCCAAGAGGGATCAAGGATGAGGTGGTCATTTAAGAGGGGAAACAGACTTAATGTGTTCACAATTAGGTAACTTGTAGATTTCTAGATCCATAAGGATAAATTCAGATCAGAGAAGATCTAGCATGGTCATGGACAATTATCCAGACTTAGGTCATCTCCTTTGTAAGAAATGAAAGGCCATCTGGTTCTGGGCAGGACTGTGACCATTAAACTACCCTTGGCTCCCCAGTCTAAGAGATTCCAATATGTTTAACTTATACAATAACAATCATGTTTCTATCAAGAACAGAATGTTAAGTGTGCCATGTTGTCAGGAGAAACAGAATTAGAACTGAGGGGATTGAAGTTCATGTCCAAGTACTAGCATTTTTTTCATGGACACTGAAGAGAACATATTGCAGACTTTCTGAGAAGTTCATTTATTCCTTACCTCCACTTCCAACTGGTCAATAATAACTGAGCTTCCAGCAAAGTTGTCCTTCAACGTTATGATCAGTTTTTGTATCTCCTTCATTTCTATCTTGATCAGCTCGAAGTCCAATTCTGCGAAAGAAATGCTATCCTTTTCCATGACCTCTACTCGGACAGTGAGGTTTATGAGTTTCTTTTCATATATGCTGATTAATTGGACATATTCCTTCACCTGAAGGGGAAGCAAAAAGTTTAAGTCAGTCCCCAGGGTAATATATTTTTTTAAAAAAAGGTTCCTCCACTGTCTGTCTGTCCAATCCTTGAAAATGATTTGACTTTTGTCAAGCACTGGTTTTTATAAAGAATTTGATCAAAAATTATATTCAACTACATTTTTTGGCCTATCTAAATGTAAGCTAAAAGGAACATGTTACTATAGCTAGGGAAAGATTTTGCACTTACCTACACTAAGAACAATTTGTCCCAGAATCATCATTTGTGTTTTAATATCCACTTTGATGTTGGAAGACATTGCCTCCCCAGACTAAACTGGTTTGAATCTGTCTCCTGCCATCTCTGTTCTCTGTGCATTTGCAATGTATTTGGATTTCTCCACAACAGTGCTACTAATAATCTAGGTAGATTTCTTTCTTATGGGATGCTGTGCCATGTGTTATAAGATAGTCAGCTGTTCATATTCCAGTACCACCCTCCCACCTGCTTATGATAACCAAAAATGTCTTCAAGCATTACTAAATGTTCCCTGAGAACTAAGTCATCATTACCACTGCTTTCCCTTTGTTTAGAACCATTGTTCTAAATCTAAGAATTTCCTAGAAAAGGGGAAAAGGCACCCAGTAGTTCTTCTTTGCTGATCATATGCAATGACTTTTAAGACCCCCTGCCTTCTACAAAGTGGCATTAATACCCAATTTAGTATACAATATGTGCGTGTATGTGCAATTATAAAGTGCACACGGCATTGAGCTCACATTTATTCTAAGAACTGATTATTGCAATCAGACCTTTAAATTACACATTTGTTGCATATATTTGAATGTCTGATCATTAAGTTAAAATACTTCCAAAAAACCCTTTAATGGTTTGATGTATAATTGGAATCTCCAAATGGATATTTCAATAAACAGTTGGTGGTACATTCTATATCTGATCTCTCCAAAAGAAATGCCATGGCTTTTTCAAGTCTTGCTCATTAAAAGTTGCTGGTCTAACTTGGTTTTTAAAATTTTTGAATATATGTGCTCCAAACTGCATGAATGTCGAGTAGCTGATCCAAATGCCTGAATGAATTCAAAGCCAGATGTTGACCCCTAATCCTTCTAATACCAAAGGCAGCCTGAGCTTCTGTCATTTTAGCCCATCCACTTAACCCCACTGTCCAAATTAGAATAGACTCATAGGCCAAAGACCTAAAGGCCCAGGGCTTCAGGCAAAGAGTATTTTAATGAAAGTTGAAAATGCAGCCCTTGGCACTGCTAGTATCTCCTCAGGCAACCGATGCTCGCTGCCATCAAATGTGCCCTCACTCCAAGGCTGAGAGAGCTCGTGACATTTTGGTGAAAAGAGAGGTTAAATATACATCTATATGAGTGTATAGGAGGAAGGTAAAACCCAAACAAGTTCCCCTCCAAAGATGCACACAGATACATGGTAGCCACATTTCAATTTCTACATAAATTGGGCATAAAAGCCTGCCTGTTGTAAAATAATAATAACAAAGTACCAATCCATTGGAAGTTTGAGAAATGAATTTGCTTGTTGGCATTTGGCCTTGCCAGCTCTTGGAATAAATAAAACACTCTCAGCTTTCCTGGAACATTCTAGGGCACGTCACAGCTGCTATGCTGCAAAAATGAGTGATTCAACAGTCATCTCCGCTAAGTAAAATGTGTCTCTCTCCAGTTCTCACAGAGAACTAAGATATGACCTGGAGCGTGTGACCTCTGACAATGTTCACTGCACCTGACTGAATTCAGTGACAGAATGAAGAGCTTCACAAAATCTGTCCCAAGGAAGAAAATAGGGCCAGAAGATTCTTTCATCTGGCAGTCAGAGGAAAGTTCAGTAGTGTTTAAGGATTATACAGAGAGACTTGCCAGGCCTTGTCCAGGCAAGCAGACCTTGAAAAATGGACCAGAAAGACTTTACAGTGTGAACTCTGCGAATGTAAGCAGATTATTCATGTTAACCCTCCACATGAATGTGCCCAACAGCATGAACAAATCCTGAGAACAGGCCAGCTCTTCCTTTCTGGGAGTTTCAGATCCATCTAGGCAGGCTACCCTACCTAGTCATGAGTCTAGCCCTATATTCTAGGCATTTGATACACTTTGCACATTTGTCACTTTTCTAGAAAATCTCTAGAATTACACCAGTGGAATTCAGCAATATCTGACCACATCTTTAGTTGTCACAGTTGGGGGAGGCAATGGGTAGGTGGTATTGGCATCTAGAGGATGGGGATGCCATAGAACATTCTAGTAAGAATATGGGTCTAGTTATGTATAGCTATCAATATCTTTACCTAAAATTTCAGCATTGCTACAGGTCTGAGTGTTAAAAAACCTCATATACTTGTCTTCAAACCACCAACCTAACATTCAGAAGTAGCATTTCATTTTGTTTATTGTACACTTATGTCATAATAAATTGCCATTATTTCTTACCTTATAATAAATAAGGATGTTATATTAGTAAGCTAAAGAATTATTCCAATTCGTATTTCAGCCAATTCCTCAAAACCTATGATCGTAATTATGACCAAATTGCCTGACATAACTAAATACAGTCTACAACATACTGTTATTTTTAACATATCCTTAAAAAGAAAATACAATAAAGTTAATGGAGCTTGATATGACAATGAAGACAAGCACCCGGATGCTAGAACCACCTGACCTCAAATCTGACTTCAGTATGTAGTGAGCATATACCTAATTTCCCTAAGCTTCTTGCAGCTCACAAGATTATTGCAAAGACTAAAGATAATGTCCATAGAGTGTCTAGCTAATGAATGTGTTATCAATTATATAAATTAACCAAGAAACTGTGACTTCAGTGTTTTCCAAACTGACTTTTTAATTTATTTCATTTCATTGCACAAAACATTGCTTAATCAATGTTGTTTGTTTAGGAGTTGTCTAAATATCTCCCAGACCACCTCAATCTTCTCATGCGTGAGGATCTATTTGCAAATGTGTCGTTTTTAATAACTTGCCCCAAAGACCATAAGCCTCCAGAGGAAGAAAAACTCTTTTTCTGTCACCCCCTCCCTAAGTGAAGTCACAAAAGGCCAGGCCATGTTATAAACAACATAAAAGTAGAAAATGTTTTCAGCATTGTATGCAGAGGCAGCTCTCTGTCTTCTCTGTGTACAGACAGATAATGAATCAATGTAAGGCAGTCAAAAACCCCTTTCACTGGTCTGCCCAAAACAGTCATTCCCCCAAGTCCCTTGACAAATGGTGATTTCCAAGGCAACCTAGGAACAGCTACAATAATTCACCTGGAAATTCAACAGCCCTGAGCTAAAGAGCTAACTTTGGATTTGAAAGTATTACTGTCTTACTGCATCTCTTCTTGGGTCTGCACAAGAGGCTGTTAACGGCCTGGCCATGAGGAAAAGAAGCTGGTATGATTTCAAAGACTCAAATTCCTGATCTAGTTTAACCAGCCAAGAGAAGAACAATGAGGAGAGATGATGCTAAGTGAAATGAACCCCAAGCTATGGACACAAGAGGCCTTTCCTCGTTCTTGTTGTTATTGTTTTAAGTGTACTATGTGATTTTGTTTTGTTTCCTTTGTATGCTCATCCTTTGTTGTCACTGTACTTGATTTTGGTACCCTGCATCTTGTATATATATTTGTCTAATTTGGGGATGGGAAAGGTAATAACAAAATGCTGAAACAAGACACAGGATGATGCATTGCAACAATGATACCCACAAGACAGTATATTGGAAATGAACTTTACAATTTTGGGTTGGGGGGGAGTGAAAGAGGGAAGGGAGGGAAGGGATAGTGGGAGAACAATAAGGGAAGGGGTAACAATGCTCGACAAGATAGTTACTCATTGCCTTACTCATATAACTGTAACCCCTCTGTATGGCATCTTTACAACGAATAAAAATTTTTAAAAAGAATTCTTAGGAAAAAAAGTTTCTTTACCTTTATGAACTTCAGTTTTTCTATCCCTAAAATGGAAGGGAAGATACCTGACCTTGTTCTGTTAAAAGCTTGTTTGAAAAGAAAATAGAACTAGAAATGATTTGGGGGGAAAAACACAAATGAAAGCCACTACTGTTATCATTGTTATTATCACCTTTCCTATCAAACTGATTATGCAAATTCCAACTGGCAGGTAAACTCCTTTTTTGGCTTCAATCACAATTTGGGGGAGGGTGGCACTGGCTATTGCCACTTTCAGAACTAAAAGTTGTCCACCTATTCAGCACTTTTCCTTTCCAACTATTAACAAAGCATATGCCATACCCCAATTCACCCCACCCCACCACCCCACACACACTACAGCACTGGAATTAAAATTTTGGCAAGCCATTTATTCCGCTGGAGCAACATGAGATTTCAAACTGCCCTTCACACTCCTGGCAGCAAAAATGACATGCAAATCATTGGTTTCTACTATTTCAAAGCAAGTGACTCCAACTGAAAAGATCTTTACCTAGGATTTTCCCCTACTTGTTATGTTTTCATGCATAACTTCTTATCTGTTCTTGATTATGCTGGAATAAGGCTATGAATATTAATGGGTGGAATTTATAATTTAGTGCTGTGCCTTTTCTGCTGATTAATTCAAGGACATTTTATTTCTTAAGAAGCTAGGTTGCTGGAGTCGTCAAACACATTTTCCTGGACACTCATTTAAACTTAGAATATTTATCTACCAATTCGAGTTGAAAGTAGGGTCTCAGCCTCACCATAATTTTTGCCTTAAAGGATAATGATGTTGGATGTTGAAATGCCTAAGCTTAAATTGCTCTGGAAAACTTATTTTGAATCTTGCAGTAAAGCCAGATCTCCTTGCAAATTAATGGGGTTGTATTAAATAATGCATAATGTGATTATACCTTAGCTTGGACTTCACCTGTATATAAAATAGGAGTCTTTCTAATTGATTTGTAACTTGGCTAAAAAGCAGGAAGGGGTCAAAATGGGGTTATGGAATCACATTGCTGCAGCCAGTTCAGAGAAAGGTAAACATTTTAAAATAATTTCCTATGGCTGGAAAGAAGTAGTAAGTAGCAGGTTGTATTTAAGGTTTTCTCAAGGCTGAGAGAGCTATTCGTCTTGATTTAAATTCCCAAGAAAGCCTTTAATTTTAGTCTAATGTTAGACACAACTAATAAAATCTTCTTGCTGGGAAAACAGAAATCAACTATCAAGAAAAATAAGAAAGAAAGAAAACAAATTATACAGATAGGTAGGTAGACAGATGCTAAACAGATAGATAGATAGATAGATAGATAGATAGATAGATAGATAGATAGATAGATAGATAGATAGATAGATAGATAGATAGATAGAAAAAGGAGAAAGGAAAAAGGAAGCAGTATGGCCAAAAGGAAGAAGAGGGAAAACAAAAAAAGGGATGGCATACAAGTAAGAAAGACCAGAAAGAATACAAAATAACAAATAAATAAAAGATTAAAGAAGAAAAGGGAAAAAATTTTAAAAGGTGTGGACAAGACTGAGGCAAGTAGAGGAAGAAACAAAAGCAATCAATAGAAGGAAAAGTACAAGAGAAGTAAGAAAGCAGAACTATGGATTGTGGGGGAAAGGAAAGAAAAGAAAGCAAAACCAGACATAGAAGAAAACCATAGAGAAGAAGCAATAAAACAAAATAAAAATTATAATATTGGGGCCTACAGGGGGGAATTCAGGACCTCTTTCCAACCGTGCAGGCCCACAGCCTTGAGGTGGGTTTGCCCTGGCATAGATACCCTCCATTCTAATTCCTTGCTGTGCTCTCATTTACCCCGCTATTAGGAATCCTATAAAATAATGCTACAACTCCCACAAGGCACAAATACGCATCTTAGACAAGGGAAGAGCCACGACTCATAATGTCCCTGAATTTTCCTTACAGTGCTTCTTTTTGCTGATTTATTTGTCCTCATCAAGATATCACCTGAAAAGTAAATGCTTACTTACTTTAGAAAATTCTGCCTCAAACCTCTGAGACAGGTTGTACGCTGTGTACTCCAAGCGCTCCACTCTGTCCGCAGGAAAGGTGGTGTCTGGCAGGGAGATGGCACACTGGCAGATTCCACGGTCATTCACAGAGCCGGTGAAATTGGAAAAGGGCTGAAAATAACAATTCAGTGAACATTAGTAATAAGTGGGAAGATGAGAATTCTTTCTTCTTTTCTTTTCTTTTTTTTGGGGGAGGAGGGGAGGATAACAGGAATTGCAGGGATTGGCTTGTCCAAAGAGCACCGGGAGGCAAGCAAGTGAAGTCCAATACACAAAGGAACAGGATCACAGGAAGAAGCGGAACTGCATTTCCACCTGTTCCATGAAGCCATTGAGTTAAAAGCCTTTAGGAAAGGGAAGGCTCTCCATTCTGAGGCATCTAGAAAGACATCATTACTGTTTCTACACAAAGAATAGGAAATAAAGATTTAACAAGAGCCCTATGTTTGACTGCCAATTCTACCACTCAGTGGGACTCTCACTCAAATTTATTCCTCCTCAATGAAATTCAGATAACCTAGTTGAAGGGTCTGTCTTTAGGAAGCCATGTTTGTCCTCATGAAGTCAGGTGAGCCAAGCCACCAACACATGGCAGGTGATCAACTACTGTTACTTCTTCCTTCCTTGTATTACTTGATCTTCTTTTGTTCATCTTTACCCCAAGCCCAATCCAATTCCACCCTACTGGAATGAAGAAAGGATCAAAGATGTGGGCTATGGTGAAAATATACAGTACAAATTCATATCTTCTCTTCAGCCTGGAAATTATATAAATAATATTCTTTCAAATGAGAACAAACCAGCTATTTGTTAAAAATTGAGTGGTATAAACCACGCACAGTGGCTCTCGTTTGTAATATAATTACTCAGGAAGCTGAGATCAAGAGGATCATGGTTCCAGACTAGGCCACGAAAACAGTTCTCAAGACCCCAGCCTGTCTCAACCATTAAAAAACTGGGTGTAGAGGCAAACGGGTAGTGTAAATAGGAGGACTGCAGTTCAAGCCAAATAACCAAAGTGAAAAGGACGGAGAATGTTGCTCAAGTGGTAGAAGACCTACCTAGCAAGCTCAAGGCACTAAGTTTTGGCCAGTGCCACCAAACCAAAAAAAAATAAATAAATAAAAAAGAAAAAATATCTAAGCAGTGTATGAACCTGGAGTTTTGTGCAAATTACTTAAATAAAGTTCTCTAGCATACCATTTGCAGAAAAGTCATTTTAAAATATTTGATGTTTCTTTAAGATATTCAGGCTCACACTTCGGTGCCACTGCATATTTTAAAATGACAGGTTTGAAAGATCTTGTTTTTCTTTTGTCCCCTTTGAACTACCTCAAGGGGATCCTGGCACAATTAACATTTTTTTTATTCCTACTTTTGCCTTACAGAGTCACTCTTGGCAGCCAAACCAGCTGTGCCTTTTAATGATCTCATCTGAAGATCAGCCCAAAGCTCACCTGTGGAGCATCAGCCTGAAGGGGCTCTTTATGAATCTCTGAAGAAAAGAGAAGTGTTTTTCAGAGTCTGAAGAAACTCAGGCCAGGTCTTTCTAAGTTCAAAACAACCGGCTGAAGTTGTATGCTCTATGCATTTAATGTCTACTGATCTCCAAGACTCTTTAAGAGCTAGGAAGGTAGCTCATTGTTAGAGTGCTTGCCTTGGATGCATAAGGCCCTGGGTTCGATTCCTCAGCACCACATTAGCAGAAAAGGATGGAAATGGTGCTGTGGCTCAAGTGGTAGAGCTGAAGAGCTGAGGGGCAGTGCCCAAGCCCAGAGTTCTGGCTCCACAACCAACAAAACAAAAAAGAAAGAAAGAAGGAAAAGAAAAGAAATGTGGCCTAGATGCTTCTAGAAACAAGATCTAGCCCATCAATGATCTCTGGAAGACTAAGCTTCTTCCAGTTAATTTGTTTTTGTTCTATATTTGGATTATGTTTCTTTAAAAGTGTGTGTGTGTGTGTGTGTGTGTGTGTGTGTGTGTGTGTGTGTGACTTTCTTGACATTGGCCTCTATTTCCTTTTCCAATCACACCCCATACCTATAGGAATAGGGAGGAAGGACAAGCAGTTTTATGTTGCACATGGGGTAAGGAGTAGAGAAGGCAGGGGAAGGGGTCTTTGCCAGGGATGAATAAGGACAAGACAGCATGCACCAGGAGCCTGTCAAAGGTACTCTTCTTCAATTCTATCTAAAGATAGAAAGGTTCTGGCTTAAGCATGTCAAGTCTCTTACAAGAAGAACCCATGTACCATGAACTTTTTGAAGAACTAGCTTATAATAACTGTCTAGTAAAGAAGAAAAAAGAGGAGGAAGAATATCTTGCAGTACAATTGACAAGGGGATGTTAATTAGCTGCTCAAGACAGAGCTGGACCATTCCTAGTGTTTTCTGAAAAGCTCTGTCAACTTAAGAAACAGTGGATCTCATCAAAAAGTCTCTAGACAGTCAACTAGGAGCCACAAGCTAACAACTTTTAGTCTTGAAGTTCACCTGAAAGACAGGCAAATAATTATGAGCCTGCTGACAGCCGTTCCCCTGGCTTCTACTGAACATCTCTGTCCCTATGCTGTGGACTCCCAGCTTCCATCCTGCTTATCATCAGCCCAGCATGCTCAGCTGACATCAAAATGGTCCATAAGTTTGATCAGTGTCTCCCATTAGAGATATTTCTGCTTCTTGAATTCAAAGACAATGAAGCTAATGGTGATGAGTCTCTCTCTGTGGTGAATGCTTAAACTCTATGTGAGTCTAATGTGGAGAATAGGAGACAAAGGCAAGTGTTTGTCCCCTCGGCCCATGGAAGGAACTGTGACTTCCTTCTCTTCTTTGTGGAGGGCAAATAGGATTCTGCATGCCTCACCAAACAGATGATAGTTCTGGGCTCCCACTCAGCATGTCCTCAACATGTACTATGGTCTACAACATGACAAACTCTGGTACTAAAAGATGAGTAAGACTGTTTCCCACCCAGAAATCATGTCCATGGTTGTTCTAAAAGCCATACTGTTCTTGTTTCTTTTTCCACCAGCCCCAAAGCCATATGACAAAAGTACAGGAATCATCATGGGCCCCACTGTGTCGGTAACTGTGTGGAGCAGATCCCTGGGCCTTTCCCTCCTTTGTGAGATGAGAGCTGATACAGCCCTTTCTGGGGGGCCCACGTAGATCTAGTGCTTCAACCTCACCCCAAAGGTGTGACTCACATTTGTGATTTAAGGTTGCAATTGTCTCTAATTAACAGGCAGGTCTAAGTGCCCACAAAGACTCAAGGCATAAAATAATGGTACTCAACATGTTCAAAGTACAGAAAATGATACATTTGGAACTTGCTAAATGACAGTTATAAAAAGGGTTTTCCACCACTTTGCGAAGAGCTCATCAAACTGACATCCAGCCCCAGAAAATTAGGTTTATAGTAGGATTGACACCTAGTCCACCATAAAAGGAGGCTGGCGTTGTGATACTGACTCACCACAGGGAGATAAGTAAACTAGGAAGGAAATTAAAACCTCTAAGTGCAATTTAACTACCATTTCTTATCTACTTTTAAATATTTGTCTTCTTACCAGACAACATACATTTTGAATACCTCTTTTCCTTGGCCCAAATTTTATTCTATTATTGATGATGCGCTTTTTTCTTACTGGTGGTAAAGGTTTATAATAAGTTGTTATTATTGTTGGGAAGGTAGGTAAAGTAAGAATGGCACCCAGGAATGGAGGAAGGCATGGTAAGCAAATGTAGTCATTATACACAATGGGCACTATGTAAAAAATGAACTACATAACTTGGGGGTTGGGATAAGAGGAGAAAAATGAGGAAGAACAAAGAAAGGGGTGACTGGCTCCTTTCTGACTTATGGAATTGTGACCTACATACAACTATACAACAACAATATAAACAAAATCAAATACACTTAAAAAATTTTTAAAGTTATTGTTAACCTCAAAAAGAAGAAGAGGAGAAGGAGATAGCCAGTTCCAATTGTTCCCAGAAATTATTTCGTGTCGTAGGATAGAATTATGTTTCTGAATTCTGACAATACTGAGTCCTTGTGCCTATTTATGGTTCTCAAATCTTTCTCTTCTCAAGACTTGAAAAAAATAACATTAGGTGAAGTAAACCAGACCCAAAGAAACATAGGCTCCATGGTTTCCCTCATTTGTAATCATTAGTAGGATAGTCCTAGCAGAGGTTCACTATAGCTCAATAGCTATGTACCATATAAAATGATGCTAATCAAAATGAACTCCATGATGTGGAAACAAGAGGGGTTTGTGGTTGTTTTGTTTTTCTTTCTTTTTTTTTTCAGTGTACTATTTGCAGTTATTTCTTTTGTCTTTCTTTTTTTCTCCTCTGGCTTATTCCCCATGGTTACCGTTTCCTGATTTCGGTGCTCTTTGTCTTCTATATAAGTTTCTGATTGGAGGAAGGGAAAGAGAATCACAGAAATGGTGGGACAGAGGGTGAACCAATGCAACAGCCATACTCACAGACACTACATTGGAAATGAACTTTACAACTTGGGGAGAAAGGAAGTCAGGGGAGAGAGAAAACAGGAGAAAAATGAGAGAGGGGTAACACAACTCCAAAAGAAATGTACTCATCAACTTACTTATGTACCTGTAACCCTTCTGTACATTACTTTTACAATAAAATAAAAACAATTTTCTTCTTTAAAATAAGCAATTTTTATCTGTACTCCCTGGAAATTTAGAAATGGTATATTGGAAACAAACTTTACAACTTTGGGGCTGGGGGAGGAGTCTGGGAGGTGGGAGAGGAAAGGGAAAGTGGCACAAGAATAAGGAAAGGGGTAACAATGATCGACAATGTACTCATTGCCTTACTCATGTAACTGTAACTCCTCTGTACAGCATCTTTACAATAAAATGAAACTAAAACTAAAACATAAAAAAGAAATGGTAGTCCCTATAGGTACCCTGGAAATAAGTTGAAACCCCCATGAAATAACTGAATTAGCATGAGTAGACTGATAGCCGAACTATGTAATTTGCCTGCTTAGTAACTCGAAGCCAATGACTTCACCTTAACAAACCTCAGTTTCGACAACTCTAAAATGGGACCATTACTTTGACCTACCTCTTCCTGATATTCCCTCTAAACCCTGTTCAAAAACCATATGGTTATCACATTTGCATTGCCTGCATATTTCTGATGCTGCCATGAAAACCACCCAATAAAAGTCTCTCCCTTTTCCTCTCCTATTCACCCACCCTGTTCATGGAAGCAGCTAGCTGATCTGAGTCAAGATCCTCAAAATGCATGTCCATTTCTCTTCCTATAAAGGAAATCCAAAGGGAATTCATCCCCCAAGGCCTTCTGCACAGGGAGCTGTGCCAGACCCATTTCTGAAGTGCACAGTGGCTTGGTTGGTTTCTTTTATAACTGCAGTCATTTGGTGTTCCAAATAGTCCTAGAAACTCCCTATAATGAAGACCGAGAAAAGTCAACATTCCTTTAGGAAATACCCATGCATAGTGGCACTTTCCTGAGCCAAATATCTCATCCCTTTACTTGCTATCTATCTATCTAAGTACAGAGAAATGGCCAGACCTCAGCAGGAGCCCATAAGTTCTCACTTGCTCACCGTCTCTTGTTCACCTTCCAGGGTCCCTTCTGTGCAGCAGCAAATTCACTGAACAAACTTTCCTGGAGATGCTGCTTACAGGGTCCATTTCCTAACAGTTCCTTTATGGAATGGGTATTAGTATCACCTGGGGAGAACTTATTTTAAAATATCTGATTTGTAGTCATCTTTCCCAACCAGAACCCAGGTACCGGGATTTGCTGTCTTCCCCCCTACTAATGGTCTTAATATTAGCAATCTGATTTGAGAATCTCTTCAATGCATAGATTCTTTCCTCCCACATTCCCCAGCTAACAATATAATTATTTGACTTAGATTTTTAATTCATTTCCAGGGCACCTAGAGTGAACAGAAAGAGTCATTAATCTTTTAGAGTGCCCACCTCTAGCCATCCATGAAATTGTATTCAGGTCCCCAAAACAGTGAGAGGAAGGGAAGCTCGCTCACTTAGGCTCTGCAGCCTCCTCACCTGGCTCACAGCACCATCTGCTGCCCATGAAGAGGCCATGGGTGCCACCCAAGACTTTCCAGCTGGCTCTGTAGTCTGAAGTTGAGCTGAAACTGTAATCGATGCATGGGAAGCATCCATGATCGGAGGTGTCACAGTTCCTGCAGCAGGGCTAAGGAGGCAGAGAAGGGCAAACAGGAAGGCAAGCCTCCACTCCATCTTGTCCTCTCTGCTGAGCTGCTGACTTCTGCCCTGAGCCCAAAGATTCTTATAGCATCTACCGGGGATTTCCCCATGGCCAATTTATGGAGAAAGAGGAAGCAACCACGGGACACATGACCCACCGCAGAAGGGTCATGACACCAGAAACTTGAGTCATGTCCACACCTTGCCACTGAGCCCCACTCTGTGACCTGCCCTTAGATTAGATTAGTCCCTGCCAAATATTAACTCAAATGTGTCCATTCAAGGCCACAATCTGGTCTCCACCTTGGTACTTCCTTGAAAGAGATGGGATCAAAGAAGTCTTCTTTGTGGATGAGACTAGAGGTTTGGGAAAGAGAAGCAACCTGAAATCCTTGGGCTAGAAATCACTTCTAGGTGTGACCTCCCATTTTACTGAAGTCTGCTTTCCAGAGCAGGGAAACTACAAACCCCCCTATCCTCTAGAGTATCTGAGCTTCCTTTTTCAGGACCCACCATCCAAGTTGTCTCTGATCATCTCTTGCAATGCCTGATTCAGAACCAAGTTCTCTCTCAACAACTTCACTCTGAAGACAAGACCCACAGGGCTTTGTTCCCTGATAATCCAGACAGAACTCTGCACTAGACAGCAAGTATGACTCCACAGTCTGATGAGGGGAGATAAAGAAATCAAGTGAACAAGCAATCCCTAGAGGGCTGAGTGCCTACTTCTCCAAGACACCCAGTCAAAACTCCTCCCAAGTGAGAATCTTGCTCTTAGTAGCAGTCTGTGTGACCTCCACTGCTCCCAGCCCTCTATGTGCTGGCCAGGCTTTGGAAATTCCAGGTTTACACTTCATGCTTATTCTCCCAGGCTCCACAAGCTCTCAGAATACATTGCTAATGGGAGAAATTCCTAAATGTTTAGTTCACTATTCAGAAGCTCAGGGGAGGGGACAAGGAGGAAAAACACAAGTGGATAGATAGAAAATGAAGGAGGAAAAAAAAGAGATGGAGGAAAAGGCAAGTCTGTATCTTTGGCCCAGCACTCCATACTGCCCTCTACTCCGAGGATTGGATGGACATCCCACAGGGACTAATCTTCCCAACTTTAGGGTCTATATTTCCCTGCTACTCAGAGTGGTGCTGCTGCCTCTAGTCACTTTCCAGAGTGAAACACACATGTTAAGCTACCCAAGGCTATCTTCTCATGCCAGTCTTTTCTCATTTCATGTCACTGTGGGTATCAGAGACAACTAGAGGAGACTAAGAAAGATATAGGAACATTTCCCCAGAAGCTTTCAACAAACAACAGGTCTACCTAGACCATCTTTGTGGTGAAGACAATGGTCAGCAATAAGTAATGCATGGCCTATTGTTAGGGGTATCTGTAAGTTCACGTCTCTCACTCAGATTCTTCCCTCTGTAGGAAAGCAACATTTAATGAATAAATACACAGACACCCAGTTTGAAAATATGTTTTCATTCTGCAGCAAAATAAGTCATGTTAACAAAATGCAAAGCTAAACTAATTTTAAATGGGGGTGGGGGCAACTGAAGTTAACCAGTGCAAACTATGGTGTGAATGCAGAAATACAAAGAAGATAGCCATTGCTACTTTTTTGTTTAGGAAATTTTACGCTTACTTCAGCAGATGGAATCTGCCCAGAGATCTAGAACCAAGGCTGCCACTCAAGTCCTCTCCTCTTTCCACCTCCTGCCTGAGTCATTTGAGACTCCCTCACTGCACCCTATCATACACCATTTTTTTAATAACTTGGATATCTAAAATGCAAACTATCAAGCCCTCTGATGATTAAACTTCTCATAAATAGCAAAGTCATTTTAATATAAGTATGTCCCCTTACACTATTTGGGATATACTTCCTGAAAATATGTATTTTCTGTTCCATAGTCAAATTGAACTAGATAGCTTATATTTTATCAGGGGACACCCCAATACTCATATAGAATATGGACTATAACATTCACTGTTCCCTATTGGCAGCAGTCCAGCCATGGCCCCTTTGACCATATGTTCTAGTCTCTTCTATGCCCAGCCCAAGACAAGAAAAACAGAAGGAATGTATGACAATGAAAAGTGACCTATTATTCTGACATCAAATGCTAGGAATATGGATAAAAAGAGGAAGAGAGCATGTCTCTATTTTCTATCTCAACTCCCCTCTTTCTCCTACTTCCCACCAAAGCAAAGGGCAAAAATCTGTTCTCATTTACTGGTAGCCTATGTCTGAGATTATAATGAGACTTTCTTGTCCTTAAAAAAAAAAAAACAACAGCATATTGGTGCCCTTGTGAGGGGGGAAAAAATCTCATTAACAATGGTCTCTTGTTGTCATGACTACCTATGAGGTCTTCTATGGCCAATCAGCAGGTCTTTGCAAAGACCCTTTACCAGAGGGGCTATACTCCTGCAGAACAGAGCAGTGCTTCTCCTCAATACAATAGTAGCTTAGCCAGGAAAACCATCACCCCACTGTGCTCATAAGCTGCTTTGTTCCTGTACGCCTCCATAGTTTTCAGAATAAAACTTTAATCTATTTGGTAACCTCAAATGCACAGAAGCATTGGTGATGCCTCAGTAATGAGATTATTAATAATAATAGTTAGATCGGTTCCTCTGAAAATACCTTTGTTCTAAGAAACAACAAGCTTCTTGTTATTTCATCAGCCTCAGAGATAGAAGAAAATTATCAGGGCTGCAAAGCAAACATTATTTTATTTATAAAAATTTATTCCAACCCTAGGGTCCCTCTAGGGAAAAAGGTCACTGAAATTCATTTGACTAATATGGCATTCCTCCCTGACAGATTGAAAGTTATTATTCATGCACTTCAGGAAGTAATCCCCAAAGCAGCACTTCCTGAACAGGTGCAACACCCAAGGAAGATAAGTATATAGATATCACTTTAATCCATCTGTCATAAAAAATAAAAGCAAATGCAAACACACATGGCACTTCAGAAGAGTTTGCCTACAAAGTATCAGGTATATACATGGATAATAGAGGCCATGTTCAGTCTACAGATTGTCTAGGGAGCCTGTGCTGGGGTGACCCTTTGCATGTCACTTGACTTTCGTCTCCAAAAGCATTTAAATATCTGTTAGAAATGCCAGAAATTATATGTAAAACTAATAATTAATTGACACCATTCATTCATTCTGAAAAACAGTCTCTCTGTTAATAATGTGTATTGTTAGTCCCTGCAAAGTATCAGGCCCTATGAGGAGCTATTATTTACCATAGCTAAGATATGGAACCAATCCAGATGCCCCTCAGTAGATGAATGGATCAAGAAAATGTGGTATACACATTGGAATTCTATACCTCTATCAGAAAGAATACATTGCTCCATTCGTTAGGAAACGGAAAGACTTGGAAACAATTATATGAAGTGAAGTAAGCCAGGCCCAAAGAAACATAGGTTCCCATGGTTTCCCTTATTTGCAATAACTAGTATATGTCTGAGACAAGCATAAAAGGTCAGATAAGATGATGTTAGGCTAAATGAATCCCAAGATAAGGACACAAGTGGTTTTTCTTTCTTGCTATTGTTTCTAATGTATTTATAAGGTGATTTTTTTTATTACTTTGTATGTCCCTCCCCCATGGTATAACCCCTGTTTTCACTGCATTTGATGTTGGTATAATTTGGGAAGAGGACGGAGAAAACAAATTGTTTAAATAGGGATACAGGTGGACCCATTGCAACAATAAGATGTACAAGACACTATGTCAGAAAAACGAACTTTACAACTTTAGGGGTGGGGGAGGTAATAGTCATGGAGATGGGAAGAGATAGTAGGGAAAAACAAAGAAGGAGGCAACAAATGCTTGATAAGAAATGTACTCATTACCTTGCTCATGTAATTGTAACCCCTCTGTACTGTATTTTCACAATAAAAAAAACTTATGTAAAAAGAAAACAAAAAAAGAAAGCATGAAACTTGCTAAGGAAAACGTCTAGTCAAGGATGACAGGCCACTTCAGGGAATAGACTGAGAATACAAATGACAAATTAACCACAATGCCAGGTGCATGAATACTGAGGCATGACCAGATAGATTGTGGAATCTCAACCTAGGTAGATTAAGGTGGGAAGAATTTGCCAGGTGGCCTTTATTTCAAATCTCCACCACCTAGCCCAGTGTCTAATTAGTGTTTACACATGGAGGAATATATTCAATAAGTGAATGAATGAATGCATGCATGATGTGATGGATTGATTTAACAAGAATTAAGAAGGAAATTCTTAGATAACTATTGGAGAAAATATGCATTGTTTAAACTGGTGGTGGAAGAAAAAGGGGGTGGTAGTGAATTCCAAGCAAGAAAAAAATTACATGAGTGAAAGAACTTGGGCAATCTGAATTCCCTCCAGGGTCATGATCATACACTTGCAGCCTTGTGTTGCCAACCATCAAAACTTGCCCTCAGATTGGAGCTCCTAACACTGTTCCTCAGCCTGGCTTTCAAAGCCCCAAATCAACATTCTCATTCCCCTAAGCATTTCTTCTATCAGGAACTACCTATACTTAGCCATTCCATCATGGCTTAGGACATTCAAACCCCAAATTACAGAATTTTCAATCATATACTTATGTTTTCAATCTGCAGCAGAATCATTAACGTTGACAAGGTGTAGAACTAAGCTAGTCAAAAGAGAAACTAATAGAAGCTAGTACAAACCTCTGTGCAAATGCAGAAAGCCAACAACAGAAGTGTTGAAAGTTTGGGAATGCTAATTTGTTTAGAAAAAAGAGAATTTCACCTCCTCTACAGTGGGAGTTCAGATCAATGAGCTGTAACAATGTTCAGAAGTACTTTCTTCAGTCAAGAGACATCCGCACTCACCACCAGAAGTCGATGGACTTAGGAGTCATCCAACCCCAGCAGATAGAATCTATGCAAAAATCTAGAACTTAAGGACTGCCCCTAAATTCCTCGTGCTACCTCCTGATTAATTGATGGAGACCCTCCTTCATTCCATTCCAACAATATACAAAGGTTTCCATACTTCTTGGATACTATAAATCAT